CAGATTTGTTAAAATTACACTTAATGAAGTTTTTAAAATAATAAAGTTACAATCACATAATAATATTTCTACTTCAATTCGTTTTTTTTAAATATAAACAATGGTGGCTGTCATAAAAACTTGATGGATTTATTCAAACATAAATTAAACATTAGCCCCTTTCACACTGCACGTTGGTCCCGGAAAATTGCCGGAGTGCCTTCTGTGTGAACGCAAACACGTTCCGGGATTGATTTCGGGATCGATCCTGGGTTGGGGACCTAGTATTGCCGGGTTCAGTCCCGGAACGAGCTCTGTGTGAACAAAAGCCAGAACCAATGCCGTAAAGGGTGTGTTGTAGTGATGACGCAAGTTATCGTGCGACTCTTTTACCGGGTGTTTTGAAGGCAGATCAACGTTTGCAGCGAAAAAATATGTGCAAACTGTAATGAAGCAGAGATCACGTAGCTCCTCACTATCCGCGCTGAAACCGAGATCGTTCACCAGCTTAAATGAAATAGAACGCGTCACATTACACATCGCATCGTAGTGTCACGTGTCTTTACGGGATCTTTACGGGATGTGTGTGAACGCAGACACAGATTCCAGAAAATCACTGGCAGTGTGAATGAACCACAATCAAACGATCCAGGGACAAATCCAGGGACACATTATCCGTGTATTTTCCGGAATTTCTGTGTGAAAGAGGCTATAGAAGAACAGTAAAATTTATAATTAATATGTTATATGGTGCATATATTTAGCAAAATGCCCCTTTTTACAGTTTATTTTTCTATCTGACTAATGAGTTTATGGTCACCAAATATGTTTTTTCTGAGGTAAATGTGATGTTACGTGACATTGTTTACAAGCCGTTCTACTGACATCTTTGCGCAATTGAAACACTGATTGAGAGATTACATGAGACAGGATGCGGATTGTAAAGTTGAACTCTTTCTTTTAACTTACCTTCGGATGTTTAGTCATGTTTATTTTGTGCTGAAACTGGTATTAATGTGGAGGAGATGATCAGTTCACGTGCGCCTCACGCTGCCGTTTCTGTTGAACTGAGGCGCTACAGCGATCTGTCACTCCACATTAAACAGCACCAAAACGGCATTTATTGTTTGAATACTGCAATACAATGGACAGAATTTGAAATCTGAGACTGTGTTTCATACTAAAAGTACCAAAGCACAATGCTTATTGCGATATATTGGATGGGAGGTGCCCCTCAACGTTCCGTCCATTAACTGAAAACAGGCTAGACTAATCGATTCTTGGGATTTAAGAATCGATATCGTTTCATAAAAATGAGAATCGATTAATATCGAGATATCGATATTTTTACCCAGCCCTACTGCATATTACGCTGCTTTCACTTAATACACAGATCTAAAATCCAGCTGTTTAGCTTCACAGACATAACCGACTGTGTTTTTGTAACATGTTTTTAACTTAACCTTGTATGTATTTGACAGTTTAAGCGCAATAATACATGAAAGAGAACTTAGTTTAGTACTCACATGCCATGTGACAGCCGCTTTCTGTGCGTGTGCTTCGGATGTGTGCGCTCAGAAAACACTATATCAAGTTTAAACTGATATGGCTTTAAAACACATGATTTCAGCGTGATATACATGATAATCAAAACCAAACTGATGTTTTTTGGCAGCATATTTGAGGTACGAGCTGTAAAGAGGCACAGCCCTTTTGTGGAAATTGGAATTTTCAAAATTATATAATAAATGATCTGTGGGGTATTTTGAGCTGAAACTTCATAGACACATTCTCGGGTCACCTAAGACTTACATTACATCTTGTAAGTAATGTAATCATGCCATAATAGGTGCCCTTCAATAGGTGCCCTTCAAGAACCGTACATTTAAAGGTTTTTTTGGGGAACCTAAAATAGTTCTTCTATGGCATCACTGCAAAAATCCCCTTTTGGAACCTTTATTTTTAAAAGTGTAGTGTAATATACATTTTAAGAGCGTTGTAACCTCATAATTACTTTAATAAAATAAATCTATAAAATAACAAATCTATTAGGATTGATATTTGAGAATAATTTGAATCATATATGGCCACCAGGAAGTTACACCTGATAAACATGCAGATATACTATTAACACTTTACAATAACGTTTCATTTGTTAAAATTAACTACATTAGTTATAGCATTTATTAATCTTATGTTAATTTCAACATTTATCAAAACATCTTAAAAAATAATATCTGGTAACAGATAATTCACTAACATGAACAAACAATGAACATTTGTATTGTTATTAACTAACATTAACAACAATAAATGCTGTAAATATATTTATATTAGTTATTATTTCATGTTAGCTAATGCATTAACTAATGTTAACAAATGAGACCTTACTGTCTCATTCTTCTCCCCCGAGTTACGTCTTCCGCCATTTTAGAGTATCACAACAAATACGCACGCTTTCCCATAAGCTAGGGCTGGACAATAATTCAATATCAATATGTATCGCGATATAATTTTTTTCAATAACAATGATATGATTTTTAAACACATTTCCGATATTTCGATATACATTACCAGTGTTTTATCACTCTAAAAGCGCCTCCTGCTGGCAGAGAATGAATTTGCATTTTTAATAAGCCCGTCTCCAGCAACATGTTTTTGTTGTTGCTCAATTTTTTTGTTTTATGCAGCAACTCAGAGCACTTTTCATATTCTTTATCCTGGCTGAAGCACATTTGTTTCAATCTATAAGAATAATCAGCCTAGGCAGTCAAACGTTTTTTTAACAGTAAGATTTTTAATGTTTAAAAACATTTTTTAATAATTATTTTACTATTTAAAATAACTGCTTTCTATTTGAAAGCAGTTATTTTAAATCTTCAGAAATCATTCTAATATGCTGATTTGCTGATTATCAATATTTAAAACAGTTGAGTACATTTTTTTTCAGGATTCTTTGATGAATAGAAAGATCCAAAGATCAGCATTTATCTGAAATAAAAAGCTTTTATAACATTATACACTATTCCATTCAAAAGCTTGGAGTCAGTATAATTTTTTTTTTTTTTAATTATAGAAATGTTATTTTATTTAGAATAATTTTATTTAGCAAGGATGCTTTAAATTGTATAATAATTGTATTGTATAGTAATTGCCTGGTGAGCAGAAGAGAATTCTTTAAAAAACATTCAAAATCTTACTGTTCAAAAACTTTTGACTGGTTGTGTATGTCAGCCTATAGTTTGATATAAGGTAAATATTAATTTATTTGTGCTGGTTTTTTTTTTCTTAAATATTATATAGTTTTATAGGAGGAGGTTTCATAGACTTGGAAAATTAATTTTTCAGAAGTTTTCAGGTACAGACATCTGTTGTGGGCGTTCTTGGCAGTTTTTATGAGGCTTTTTTTTTATAGTGTTCATATCGATATCGGAATTATATCGTATCGACCGAAATTAAGAAATATATCGCGATATAAATTTTGGCCATATCGTCCGGCCCTACCCTAAGCATAAACAACGCTGATTACGCAGATTACGTTCATGCGCGCGCTTTCTCCTCCGAAAGCAAGCAACGCTGATTACGTCGATTACGCTCTTGGGTACTCTCCAAAATGGCAGAAGACGTAACTCGGGGGAGAAGAATTGTTGAATAAATTATGTTATTTTTGTTTGCTTTGCGCTCAAAAAGTATTCTCGTAGCTTCGCAAAACTGAAGTTGAGCCACTGATGTCACATGGATTGTTTTACCGATGTCCTTACTATGTTTCTGGACCTGGGAACATTACAGTTGCGTTGCTGTGCTCTCACATTTAATCAAAAATATCTTAATTCGTGTTCCGAAGATGAACGAAGGTCTTACGGGTTTGGAACAACATGAGGGTGAGTAATTAATGATAGAATTTTCATTTTGGGGTGAACTAACCCTTTAAGCCTATATTGAGTAACATTTCCCACTTGATAACACTTGGATCAATACACTTTTTGCAAATTCAAACATAGGCGAGTCAGAAAATAACCAAGGCTCTGGCAAATTGTTACAAAAACATCCCAGATATTTAAAATGTGTGTAGTGAATGTCTCCGTTATCTAAAATTCGACATATTTCATAACATATATTCTAGGAGTTTCTATTAACAGATTCAGTATGGGTTTTGTTTTTTTCCATAGACACTGTAGTGACCTGCAGCGGTCACATATCTTCCTCAAAAGCAAATTCTAGTGGTGATTGTCTTATGATATGTTGGGATTATTTATGGCTTCTTTCATATTCAATTTTATGATTTGATTTTACATGTAATGGCCTTAATTGTTCAGATTGAGAATGAACATGCAGATTCAATTGTAGTATCTGACATAAAATGAATAAGGTAAAAATAAATTTTAATTTTTTTTTTAGTTTCCCCTATAATGGTAAACTATTGCCATTAAACAAAATTTATTTGTGACAATGATTATATAAAAATGGCCAAGCTTTTCTATTGTATGTCATTTCATGAGCTGTCATGTGTATACACCTAATAAATCTGGACCTCAGATACAAAGAAAAAAAAAAAACTTTTAAAAATAATTAAAAATATATATATTTGTCGTGCCTAAATTTGTCAATTAAAACAATTGAATGCCATAATTTATTTACTGACATGACTTAAACTTTCGTGATAAACATTGTAGGCCTTTGCATTAACCGTGCACCTACAGTCTCAATAGGTATAGCAGTCAATCCAGGCACGGAAATAGCGGTATTTTTCTGGATATCTTCATAATTCTATTTACACTCTCCCTGCTATTATAACTACTGAATTGCATTAATTATATATGGATCATCAATCTAAGTCTGTGCTGAATAACTCAATGTACGTCATTTGAAGTGTCTCTATATTTCTCTTGGTTGCTTTAGTTGAACCGGCTTCGGAAAATCAGAAAGGGGCCGACTGAAAAAACTAGTTAAAAGCCATCGAACATTCGCCATAACATAAAATAATCGATGCGCATTCACAACACACGGAGAGATAAACTCACCGATCCTTCTGTCGTCCTCTTTTATTGCTTTTTCGGGTGTCTTCTTTTGTTTGCGAAAAAAATGCAATCAAGAATAGTCGGGTACATTTTCCCGAGGCTAGAGACGGTGGTGGATAAAACACACGGACGGGATACGATTGGGACCGTAACTGCGACAATCGAAAAGCAAACTGCACATCAATGTGTCGATGAAATCGTAAACGTTTTACGTTTTGTATTTACATGGCCTACGATCCCCTCATCCCGTTGGCATTTCTTTCCCTGCCGGCCGATATGGTCGCCAAGTGCAGCAGATACGAGAATCAGGAGAGGTGGTGGCAAAGCTGCTGTTGACTGACATCAAGGGACTCCAATTGCGCGAAGTTCTGTGTTCCGGCGGATACGGATGGGGAAAGACTTTGGAAGAAAGCGTCACTTCCCCGCTCGAATTCCAGCTAGTGATGGGATGTCCGACTCAAATCCGTGAGTCGGTTTGTCTGAACAGTTGGTTTCAGAGAATCGGTTCAAAATGATTCAGATGTTCTCTGGCGTGAACAATAAAGGCAAATACAGGCACGTTTTGCAGTTTAATCGTTTTTTTTAATTACGTATTATAAATAATTGCAAAATAATATATAGCCTACTTATTGTAATATCGTATCTATATATCAGTATCGTATCATATCGTAGTTCAGTCTGTTCGAGACATGATTTATATGCATAAAAGCATTTTAATCATAATTTGCATTGAAATTGCATACTAAAACTATTCCAAAGCAAACACAGAACGTTCCCCTAACGTTCGTTTTTGGTTCCCGTTTGGCTCTTTTTTTTGGGAACCAAATACTAACGTTAGGGGAACGTTCTTTTTAGGTTATATTTTTTGTAACCATAAAATAACGTTCCCAGAACGTTGCATGGTGGTTATTTTTAAATAACCTAAACATAACTTATTATAGAGAACGTTCCCTAATGGTTATTTGTAGGTCATTTTTTTTGCAACCATAAAATAACACAATCCCAGAACGTTAGTTTTTGGTTCCCAGAACGTTATTTTTTATGGTTTGTTTTTGGTTAGCCAGGAAAGTTTTCTTAACGTTCCCAGAACATTAGTTTTTGGTTCCCAGAACGTTAGTTTTTGGTTCCCGTTTGGTTATTTTTTTGGGAACCAAATACTAACGTTAGGGGAATGTTCTTTTTAGGTTATATTTTTTGTAACCATTAATTAACGTTCCCAGAACGTTGCAGGGTGGTTATTTTTAAATAACCTAAAAATAACTTATACAGAACGTTTCCTTATGGTTATTCTCAGGTTATTTTTATTACCCTGTAAAACTATCTTTCCAATGAACACGTCGCAGATGTTAATGTGTAATTACCTATACAGAGCCCTGAAATTCGTTTAATGCAGCATTTATTAAAATACAGACATTAGATCAATCAAAACGCGATTTAAATTATAATATTAAGCCAGGGTTAAGGGTAGAGTGATAACAGAAATAATACATTCGTGGGTTTGTTTCATCTTCATTTACTGCGCGCCTCTGATCTGCACGCGCTTCTCCAGCACGCGCTTTCACCTGTCTTCCACAGAGAGTCGCGCGCCCGCAGAATTTAAAAATTAACGGTCATTTTTCGTTTTACTGGCTGACTGACTCCTAGTTTATCGATCTCTTTATTGAATGATTA